TTTAAAAATTGTAGGACTTAGTTGTGCCTCAATTGGTTTAGGTTTGAAACTAACCTACCATGCCCTGTCGCTGTTGTACATCAGGCTATGCAAAACCAGTATTACTGATCTTCGAATGTGCGGAACCATCATAGAAACTGAGACCATGATAAACTGTTTTTGTATATATGTCGTTGTGTTGCCGTGTGTAACAATCCAAGGGTAGACTGGGACGGAGCTGCTGAAGGCCTGACAGGTTGCCGGGGCTCCAGCTCGAAGAGCAGGATTGCGTTCATACGAACGGAGTGGTTTTTAGTCAGTAAGAGTCTGACACTTCCTTTTCGCCTAACTCAACGCGGAAGAAGTCATTGGATGATTTACCCCCCTCAAAAAAAAAATACAAGTTAGACTGGGTGATAATGCCTTGGGCATTAAGTCTGCCTATGTAAATTTTCTGCATGAAGCATAAAAAAAACTATATTAATGTTGTATATGTATATAATATAACTGTGATAAATTGCTTTTAGGTATCCTACTTTATTAATTCATTACTTAATTACACAGTGTATTAGGACGTTCATAAACAGGCGTGACTCGTTTCTAATTAGGTCAATATAATCTAAAACTGTATTTTATTGTTAGCCTATTCATACATTGTGGTATTAACATCAATACTTTATTTGTAGGTACTATTCCTAAGTATAATTACTTAATTAGTCTGCCGTCTAGTCATTTAATTAAGCACCTAGATAATTCTAAATAGGCATTGCGGGAAAGTATCCGTATTATTTATAACATAGATAATTTTAACATACAAACAGTGGTATGTTACCTTGTCATGTGTTATAATATGTAATATACCTAATACCTATCAGACTATCTGTTATCAGTATTAATTTTATAATATTACGTCATTCCTGATATACCTATATGGTAATTCGTTTTATATCGAGAATAAGGACAATGTATCGATAAATATGCAATCAGAATTCGTTACAAGTTCTAGAAAAAGCTACTTGCATTATATCTTTGTTGAATGGAGGCTGGAACGATTGATACTAACCATGTTTTGTGCCAGAAATATCTCTGTAAGAACCCTGTTGCGAAAGAACGAAGTTCTAGAGAAATGATGTTAAAATGCAGACTCCTTAACCACCACTGGCGGAGTATTACATTATGGATGACTTTCCTCTGCACAAAAAAGCGCATTAATCTTAGAGGATTGGGTAGGACAGATAGGTAGTAATTAATCACTTTTATTTCGATATTCAGATGTAACAGTCAGCAAAGCATTTGAAACTCCTTCAGTGTCGCGAGTATCCTTGGCACCACCCTGCTATAAGGAGATTCCTTTCGTTTACCTTTGCCCACGTAAACTAAAGAAAATCTGAAGACTAATCTAGTTATTGCCCTTGTAATACTGGACTAGAAAACTGAGGATGTTTTCGTACCTAAGGACCGCGTTTGGTCCTTTGGTCCTACAATATGAAGTTTACTACTACGCTACGCAGTATACCTACTGTAACTACATAAACAAGTATATAATAAGGATGTTAAATATATAACTTGTTGTCAGCTACTGAATCATGGTATGAGTCATTTTATTCCGTAGTTTTGTAATGTACTATCTTACTTGTGGTATGTATGTACTATACTACCTACGTTAAATGTGATTTATGTCATTGTTACAACAAAGAGGTATCCTATAGATATCTACCTCATAAAATGTATGTAAATACGTAATGAGTATTATTAATTATGAATGAACAACAGATATTTATAATATTGTTTAACTCCTCTCTGGATTTTAACGAATAAAGATTGATATGTCATTGATTAAGCGTTCAACAGGAATAATCTATCTAGCACAGAATCCTACGTATATTTCGTAAGCCATTCCAACCCACACTGGTTATATCCTTTTTTACCAGTTTCTTTATTCATAAAACAGGTTACAACCCTAAGTTTGTGTAATCCATCCCGTTGACTTAGGGTTGTCACTCGTCAAACATACTTTAGTTAACAAAGTAAGCAGGTCCATTGATTTATTCCCAACCATAAGGGTGCGAAAGCCAATATTTGCGTTTACTATACTTTGCACAACCTTTAAAACTATGTAAGCGCCCTCTATGCAAACATTTCCGTTTGAAACAATGCACGTGTGATTTTGATTTGTCTATCAAAAGAAAGGATGTCATTTTGGCCTCTGTGACTATTATAATGGACATTTATGTTTCCTTATTATGTTAAGTACTACGATGTACTATTATAATTTGGGATTTCCTTGTTCTATTACAAACAAAAACTCAAGTATTGGTATGACAAATATTTAGTTCACTGATGTAATGCTATGTCTAGAAAACTCTTTTTTTTATGGGATGAGCCGGTAAACGAGCACACGTATCACCTGATGGTAAGCCATCGTCGTCGTCGCCTATCGACACCTGGTACACCTGAGGCATTACAAATGCGTTACCGGCCTAAGGATTGGGAATGTGAGGATTGTTGGGGATTCAGGGATTGGGCAGATTCGGTAAAGGGGAGAAGCAATTGGTAACCTCACTCACACGACGAAACACAACACA